TTATGATAATTAATGAGACTTTCTAGAGAAAGTATATAGGATGGAAAGAGATACCAAGAATAGAACCATGTGGAACTACAGATATAAAGACACAGAAAGGTAAAGTTGGATAAGCTGGCAAGAAGACTGCGAAGGAATGCCTAGAAAAGTAAAAGGGAAACCAGGTGAATCCTATGTTATTTAATTGAAAGATCAGGTAAGATAAGGAATGAAAAAATTACAGTGGTTAATCGACATGGAAGTGTTATTGACCTTATAAAAAGCCCTTTTGGTGGTGCAGAGGGGGAAAGAAATCATACTGTGTTGAGTTGACCCTAATGAAGACAATGCTTTTGAAAAGCTAGCCATTTAGAGAAGGGAGATAGAGTAGTTACTTGGGGAGGAATGTGGATGAGCAGAGGTCTTGATCATACGTGAAGAAATTAATATAAAATCCTGAAGATAAGAATCTAGCAGAAAGGTGAGCTTGAAGAAAGAGGAGAGAGAAGGGAAAAATCCATAGTTCAACTTTCTTGATAAGGTTGGAAGGGATGAGATCCAGCCTCTGAACTGAGGAAGGACATTAAGGAAGAGGAAGGAGAAAAGTGTAGTGAGTGGTAGGTCTGAAGTTTTAACAGGTTTGTGTTGGGAAGCTGGAGAATATTCTCATTTGACAGCCTCTATTTTCTCTGAGAATAGAAGGCAAAGTGTTATCTCCTAAAAGTATAGAGACAAGGTGGGGGATGAGGTAGAGGCTGGAAAAAAGGGAAAAAATACAGGAGGTTTAAGATAGGTCTTTGAAGTTAGGCACTTACTTCTATAATTGCAGCATTAATTGCAGTTTGAAAAGCCACAAATCCTTCTTTCCAGTATTTTTCTAAGTAACAAATAAATTTACCATTTGTGGTCCAACAGTGTTCTTCGAGAAAGAAGAAAAATATGTCCATGATTACGTAATGGAGTCTATTACTGGAATTAAAACCTTAACGTTGGCTCTAAAATAAAACATCTAAATGTAACCTCAGAGCCTACGACTGCACAATCTAGAGAATTTTTTAAAGCACTCTGTAAAACTGGAAGAAACTATATTATTGAATAGTTCCCAAAATAAGAAGACCGGTCCTGATGATTAAGTTCAGGGGGAAAATGTATATTACTTCTTTATTTGGTTGTATTAACGTTTCTATCAGTCATTATGAACAGGGAATTCAATGCCATAGCAAAAAAGATTGTAACCAATTTTCATACACTTACCTGAGTATTCAGAGTGTTCCTTTATACTTGGGATCCTATATCTCCAATTAAACTTCAGCTGGTATGAGAAAGTATCACTAAACACAACTCCCACGATTTCAGGGTACTTTTGTAGAAGTACTGTATCCATAGTTTCTTCATCAAGTGTTCCAACAATTGTTCTTCCTACCATGTAAAAGAAATATAAATAACCATGTAAACTTATTACTAGAGGACACAAAAACAAAATGCAATTGTTTAAGTTTTCTATAAAATTATAGGTGTTACATATTATCCCTGAACAGGTGCCTCTGAGTTAAAAGCTAAGCAAAAATCTTTTCTATTATTTTAAGCACAATGTAAATACATGAAAAGATGTGAATGATATATAATTTTTTAAAAAGCCCAAATTTCACACATTTTTTATGTGATTTCATTTTGATAAAGAAAAACTGAATTTGTGTGCCTATATAAACATAGAAACATACGTCTACATATGACCATTTGCATGTTTTCCTTGAAAGACACACAAACTTAAATGAGGAGGTGAGGAGGAGAGGAAGAGACAAAAGCAAAGACAAAAGGAAAAGCTCTCATTTTTTTGCTTTATACAAGTTTGTACTCCTTAACTTTTTTTAGAGTGTATATTACTTTGTTGACTAAAATA